TCTTTTATTTAATGTGTTGGGATTACAAAGTAAAGCACCAGAGACAGATGATCCACTAGTCAGTAGACCCATGGATCTCACACTCATTGTCTGGAAAGCCCTAAAGCCTACATTCCCAGTCCATTCCCACTCTTTTCAGGTAATTGGGCATCAGCTTCAACAACATGATACACATGTGCCCGTTGCTTGCTGGGATAGGCTCTGACTCCCCAAAACCCTGTATTGGATAAAGCAGTCAGAGAATGGATGGCTGGATATACAGTAAGGGTATGCACTTTGAAACTGAATAGGTCAAATAAAAAACAACAACTTCAACAATGAAGAACAATGCAGTCTGAAAAAAGCAGGCCATTAGAAGCAAGACAGTGAGGTGAAATGAAACTATAGAAAATACAAAAGCTTAAAAATATCCTTCTTTAAAATACAGATTCATCCAACAAGTAAGTTATTCAAAGTCAGTGACACAAACTGCTAGATAGAACTTGTACACAAGGAGAAAACAATTAGTTATACACCTGATCTGACACTCATTCCCTCAGAGTAAAGAAGAGCCTACTGTTCTTGGGTTTAGATGCACTTTCTTACATGTTTATGCTTGTGCTCTCAGGTTTCTCTGTTGACTCTGAAGACTGTCAATACCTTTGAGGATACTGAATACTTAAATCAGGTCCTGCTATAGTCTTCTCTGCTCATCACTAAAAAGGTTTGGATCTTCCAACTTTTCAGAATGGGACAATCCATAAAGCCAAATAGTGGTACAGTATGTGGTTGCTCTACTCTGAACTGATTCCAGTACTGCAAAACCTCTTTGGTAAGCAAAAAATATACAGAGCATTTTTAAATGCGGTCCTACTAGTGCTGTGTACAATATTAACATCCCTTGATTTAAATAGTATGTTTTTATCTACAGTATACAGTATATCCTAACAGTCTGTTTTTTATTATATTTTTAAATTGTTTAGAAGATTAAAATTACTGATCTACAAAAACAATTAAGCCTTTCTTGTAAGGAGATTCTGTAACCTCTGCATGTCCTGTTTAATCATTCCTAAGGAATCTTATTGCTCTAGAGTTGATCCTTTTTAACATTAACTTGAATTATTGTTTCTGTAACTTTTCATGAAATATACTATATAACACGTGTATAAGTCTACAGTGACTTGGTTTGGTTTTGTCACTAGTTTCAGGTGTTATATTAACAACTTAACAATTAGTGGATATTATCCCTGTCTCAGGAGTCAGGGACAGGAAAGAAGAGTTTTGTTAACGATGTGTGAATAACACCACTTGTTATTGTCAAAAAACAGGTAGAATTCCATCAGACCCTGGAGATGTTTATCTTCCTACCTGTACCTGTGACACATCTGTCTCTTCTGTGCCAATATTTTTTAATTCAGGACTTCGTGTTTGCTCAGCCTGAGGCAAGTTACAGTATCTGTTCCTTCGTAAGCACCTGGTACATCAGCTGTACCTCTGTTTGCCAGTTGTATTCCCTACCTTTCCATTTTACTGTTCTTCTGCTGATGTAATACTTAAAAACACATTTTATAACTTATTTTAGCCTCCATTGCAATATTCTTTCCATTTCTCCTTTGGGCCTTTCTAATATCCTTATTTATTAATGCCTGCAATTTGCTACATTTCTTTTCATTAACCAAATTGTATTTTTTTTGCTTTATAAAGTGTTTTGTTTCTCCTTGTATTCTTCTGATGAGATTTACATCTTTTCGTCACTGATTTTTGATTGACTTACTTGTTGGATGAATCTGGTTTTTTTAAGCAGAATATTTTAAAGCTTTTGCATTTTCTGTAGTTACATTTTACTTCACTGTGCTGCTTCTTATGGTCTGCTTTTTTGAGACTGCATTGAAAGTTGTTCTTTTTTATTTGACCTATTCAGTTTCAAAGTGCATAACTGTATATCCAGCCATCCATTAGTTAGCTGCTTTATCCAATACCGGGTAGTGAGGGAGCCAGAGCCTATCCCAGCAGGCAACAGGCACAAGGCAGGGTACACCCTGGATGGGACACCAGTCTATCGCAGGGCACACACACACATACAGACACACTCACTCACACTAGGACCAATTTTTCCATATTCTCTCGGTGCTTTGAGTGGAGTGTCCAAAAAATCACAAATTAAATTTAAGGAATTATTATTATTATTATTATTATTATCATTATTATTATATCAGATCAATATTCCCCAAATGTGTCTGGCCAATACATTTATCTAAAGTGACTTTTGAGCATTTTTTTCTGGGCCAATATTGCAGAATACCTTGCTTGCATGCCCACCTTGGATTTGAACCCAAGGACCTAGTGACTCTTCCACACTTCGCCATGGAACAGAAGGTGTACTTACAAACTGCGCAAGAGAGTGCTCATTATTCATGTCTTCCATTCCATTTTTATTACGTCCTCCCTGTCTACGTCTCCCATGAAAACCAGTTCTTCCTTTAGACATGTCTCACTGACTTTATACTACAATGCTGAATTTTAATTATTTGAATGAAGTGGCCTATAAAATGCTATGTCTGAATGCTGTTTTTTTGTGAGAATCTAGATTAAATCTTGGATATGTGTCTGTAGGCTCCTCTCACTGTTTAATTCTGCTCTTCTCCCTCAGCTGTCTTCCTGGAGTATCTCACTGAACAAAATTCAGCAGCCAGAATCCTGATCAGGTTGCGTTCAGGATTCAGGATCAAGTGTACATATTACTCCTGTCCTGGTGTCCCTGCACACCCTTCCTGTCAGGTTTCATGTTGACTTCAAAATCCTCATGCTCACCTACAGTATGAGGCTGTACATGACTCGATACCTCAATACCTGTCTTATTTATTATCTTTCTACTCTGGCTCTGGAATTCTATCCCCAAGGATAGCAGAGAGTCCTTTCCTGAATGCTTTCAACTCCAGTCAAAACCTCCTTCTTCAGAAAGGCTTTAACTTTATTGATGTCTATGTCTGCCTCTTTGCATCTTCTAACACATTCAAAACCCATGTTTCTTATTGTATGTTTATCTCGAATCTTTTTTTTTCTTATTGTTAATGCTTCAAGAAGCTATTTTAAAAGGCTCTATATATAAAATAAAGTTTATTATTATTGTGTTTATCGAAGTTGTACCCATCACAACATCTCTGTTTCAACCACTTTTCTGTGATATAATTTACATTATAATTGTGTGCTAATAAAATTGCACCTTTTTCTTGATTTGGGCTCCTAACATCATTTGCACTGAGGTATAATGAAATATGCACAGTATACCACACAAAGCCACTTTAAAGGTACAAGAACTGTCTTGCTTTCACTATGAAACAGGTTAGCAGATAAAGACAGCACCACACCATTCAATACATTTGTGTGATTCTTACTAATATATTCATTGACGGATATGCAGACTGTAACCCTGGCAATATGTGAGGCCAAATGTGTAGGATCCAATATCTGCCATTCCACAAAAAGCTACTGTACAGCGTAATAGGAGGGCCTCTATCTGATCACCTGTACAGGTATCAAGAATAAAACAATAATCAAGTGCAAGATCAGTTATTTAGAACCAGAAATGTACCTGACAAAGCAGTTAGCAAGACAACAATCACCTTTCTTGTTAAGAGGTTAGAGAAGATCCCTAACTCTGATGGGGTGTAAGGGGGGGTGGGCTGTTGTTAATTGAAAACAGTGCTGGAGCTGAATGCAGTTCAATTATTTTGACAGTGGGTTGCATGAGCTGCTGGATTGATGTTGTGAACTGCTGAAGAGGCCAAGCTAGCACAGACACAGTCTCCCACTGAGCTGTGGAAAAACCGGGATAAGGGGGAGGGAAAGACAGGGGGTGCATCTCTAACAAGCAGAACAAGAGCCTCATTCTTTTAGACAAGAAAAAAAAAACAGGAAAAAAACACACAAAAAAGAAGATTGTTGCAACAGAAGAATAGGAATAAAAAGGCACAACATCCACGTTTTTGGAAAGAAATGATCTAAAAAAACTTCATAGAAAGGATTAACAGAAGATATTTAAAATGTTGTTTTATAATATAGTATAATACAAGAAAAGGCAATATGGAACATATACAGTATATATGTGTGTGTGAGTTTTTGCTTATTTTGTTTATAACAGAGAGAGAAGAATGTTAATCCACAGAATCGATAAAAATATTTCGGAAAAGCAGGTTTGACACTGGGCTTCTTATTTCAGATTTTTACATCTATCCTCCTTCGATAACAAATTGAAGAGACAATTTTAAGAGTGACTGGATGTATTATTATAATAGGAATACTAATGACATTGTAAGAAACATCAGATATCAGGGCAGAATGACTGGACGTTCATTCATGTTCTGAGATATTTGGTTAAAGTCTTATGAATGATTCTGAACAAGCTGGGCACAGTCTCCATTTTTTACCACAGAAAAAAAATCAATGTGTTTTGACAAAGGATAGATTTGAATGCTTCATCTGTGGACAGTGCTACCACACTTCCCAGTGAAGCCAGGCCTCTTCATTCACTTCAAGCTGTGTTGACCAGTGTGGATGCAGGCACACTTATCACATTTCTCTGGGCTCATTTGCTTTCCTGGATCAATCACTTTTATCAGCTCTGCTTCTGGAATTGGGGAACGCTTCTTCATACTTGGTGTGAAAACAAATCGGTGTTTGTTTACCTGTTTGTTTTTCAGGATCTCTGCAGCATGTCACAGCTGAAACTGTATTCTTTGATTTCCCAGCAAATATGATCAAAAAGGCCATTTTAAGAGAATATCAATAATGATCAACAATAAGAGGATGATATGCAATAGAATATGGGTTTATTAATATATAGTATATTAAATAAATATTTTTTATTTCCTTCTCGTACATGGCACATTACTTATCTGTTATCAGACACACACACATGTATATGTATATTTGTTTTCTTTTTTGTTATTGTTTTAGTTTAGTTTTTCTGAAAAAAAGATTTTAAAAACAAGAAAAAAGGGAAAAACATGCAGCAAAAATACCTTCGTCTCTGGGGCTGTTGATCGTAGATTCATCGTGTTTTTTTGTGAGCGGACCTAGGGTTAAGAAAAAAAGGGAGGAAAAAGAGAAAAGAGAAAATTCAAAAAGATTACTGTGGCAAAAAAAAAACAAAAATCAAAAAAGAAAAAGAAGAAGTAGCCAAAAAAAGACAACCAGCAAAATGCATCTGCCTCTGAGAGTGTGTTTGAAAAAGGACGCAACTTTGAAAAAGGAAAACAACCCCCTCCCCCCACAAAAAAAGAAACAAAAAACAAAAAGGTTATTACAAACACAGATTCTTAACAAGAAGAACAGAGACCCAGAACCAGGGGAGGAAGTCTGTCAGTGGGTAGCCCACCAGAGTTTCCTGTCTGCCTTTCTCACTGTCGGCTAATTCTGCACAACAAAATGAGCCACCTGACATGCCCTGAACAGGCTTTCATTGTTAAAGAAAGAAGAAGTGACAAAAAGGAATAGGAATTATTCTCTGCAGTCAGAAAAAAAAGGGTATTTACTCATGTTTTCCAAAGAAGACAATACTATTAAGGCAGAGTTCTAGGGGGGCGGCCAGTTCTGATCTACCCTTCAGAGTGGTGCGTGGAAGAGCCGAAAAGATCGCCCTCCGAGCACGACCCCGAATCAACCCCACTTTACGACCAACTCCATCGCAAAAAAAAGGGACCGAGATTCCCAGGGATCCGAACGTTATTGTGTCAGTCTGACAACCAAGGATTGTGTGTGTTTAAACCCATAGCACCTGCAGTAATAAAAGTAGATGAACTCTTCAGGATGAGAAGCAACAAAAGCTTAGCATGAGGAGTGGCAGTAACATGCAGGAAAGGCACTATTCCATAAGACGTCAGTTGAACTAACTTTAAGGCAGGCTGCAATGATGCTTTATCCTAATACGCGCTAAACGTGTCTGAATCCCACCCTGGTACTTTGTAATGCTCAATTAAAAATAACCAGTTTCTCTTTGAGGCTTTCAGAATGATAGGAAAAACAATTTTCAGACAGCACCCAGTGCTACATTTCCCTTCTCCTCTTGTGTACTCTTGATTGTTACAAGCTTGGAAGGATTAGAATCATCAGGTGATCCGGCTCCCTGCCTCATCCTCACATTCATTGCTTTATTACCTCCCATTTCTGTCCTCCAAACCTGCTGCCGTGCTCGAAACGATGAAAACCATATTCATAAAATGGAGAACACGGCGTACAGGTTCCACATACTGTCTGTGCAGTCTACTGTAAGTAATGAACGCCAGTGAATACGAAGAGGCAAATGGGTAAAATATTGAACGGTTACATTCATTTTCAGCAGACAAGGTGAGAAGATACAAAAAGACACACCGGAGGCTTGAACACAAAAGCACATAACTGAATTTGCGTAAGAGGTAATATATTATGTTGAAGGATGGGCGTGACGCAAGCTAGAAAGTTGCGTTCAGTTTTGCTGACATGGCACTACAAGAGGGGCTGTGCTGAAATGAGTTCAAAGAGGAGCCTGTGGAACAGCAGAGATTAAGAGAATCGGCAAGGGCTGGTTGAAAAGGACCAGGGGCCCGCTCATGTTGGGGGAAAAAAAAGATGCCTAGGAGACTGGACGATTTCAGCAAGAGCAGGAGAAGGTCAACTCACCCTGAAGTACAGTACACTGGCACACTAAACTTCAAACCCCGCAGGAAACTCTGGACCGTTGGACACAAGTAGAAATAAAGTGCTTCTCCATTCTGGAGTGAGAACTGCTGCTCGACATAAAAAGCACAAAACACACAGCCGACACTGTGCCAAGTACCTGTGATTCTTCTCATAACCTCTGGAGGAGGTTAAGGGCGCTCACAATCTGCTTTGTGTGTCACCAAGTGGTAACAAAACGTTGGAACAACAATGCAAAAAAAGTTACAACTGGGAAAAGAGTCCTTAATTGCATATAAATATAAATAAAAGACAATTAAAAGCAAATAACTGAACTATGTTATGGCAAATATTTAGTCTTTTCTGTACATAAGCCTTTCAGCATTTTTGGACTTATTTTGTCTATTTAGTATTTCCACATTGCATGCATCATGCATTCTGAAAGTAAAAAAGGAGTAGGAAAAACTGGACAAATGATCTCATTTATAGCCTCAGTTCTTCAGTTCCAAGTGAGGGAATTTTATTTTGGAAGTAATTGTTTTTCTCCATGGCTTTCATTCCAAAAATAACAACATCGTTCAAGGATCCAATGTTTTCATGAGACAGCTCCAACATGACCACTTTTAACTAGTGTTTGACCTACGAAAAGCTGAAACGCATTTTAAATAACGCAGGACAGACAGGACAGAAAAAAAAATCTATCTTTGCGTGCACAAGCACTGTCCTTTGAACGTATGGATTTATTCAGTGAATAATCAAGCGTGTTCTCGTAATTCATCGTTTCCACAGAGGTGTGACACTATTTGAGAGAAGAGGCAAAGCAGTGTCAGTATTTCCAAACAGTAGTTACAGTACACAGCTCTCATGTTTGAAACATCTACTAAGCTTTCCCTCAGAGTGCCACAGCAGAGCACTCCTTGATGTTTGACATGTTTGGATGTGATATTCGCACAAAAATGTGCCCGACTAGCTGCTGGGAGCCAGCTGTACTGGGACAAACCGAGCTGGAAAGGCTTATGGAAGAACTGCTTTTAAGAAGGATTAATTTGTTTTTTTTTGTCTCTTGTTAAAAGATGGAAAGACAAAGGCGGGAAAGAATTTCACCTGGCTAAGAAGAGAAGGCTCATCAAACTCTTAATAAACACAAGGGCTTCACTCTTAATAAACCTACAGTAAATCTTCTGTTCCTACTCTGCAGCTCACAACCTTGGTTTGCCTGACTCTGGTCTGGCTCTCTCTGTCCCCCAAGCCCGCCTACACTCTGTGGGTGATGGAACCTGCTCTTCCTGCACCCCAGAGCCCTGGAATTCTATTCCCAAGGATATCAGAGAGTCACCTTCCCTTTCAAAACGCTTTCAAATCCAGAGTCAAACCATTCTTCTTCAAGAAAGCTTCTACTTAATTGGTGTTTGTGTCTGCTCTTTGCTTCTTCTACTACGTTTCTAATCACTTGTGCTTCACAGTTGTAACAGCTTAAGCTAGTTTTGTTGTCTCCTATCTTTAACTGTTTTGCTTTCACTTTTTTTTTTTTACTTTTCCTTTGAAGCACTTTAAGAAGGTACTGTGCCTTTAAAGGTGCTACAGTATATATGATAAAAAAGTCATCATTATTATTATTATACTGTAGATGCTGAGCCAAGAAGTGGGCCAATGTCTTTGTCTACAGAAGCTTCTGGGATTGCTCTTCATGGGTCTTCATTCACCCTTCAGATTCAGATTTGGACTGCAACATGTCAGCATCCCATTGGAAAGGGCCTAGTGTAAACAAGGACCATATCATTATTTCCATATACTGTCCTACCAAACTGTTGGAAAACACACCTCAGGTACAGAAAGCAGCTCCATGAGCACACAGAAGAATTACAGTTCGAGCATATGGAACTGATTCCACTAGGTGTTCACAGATGTCAGTGTAGATGGGGGACCAGGCTTAATAGATTTTTCCTGATTTATGTTTCATGTTGCTATATGTATACCAACTAGTATGAATCTTGTGTTATCAAATACAAAACATGCAGCCTCTTTCCCTTTGTGCAGCATCGTGAGCACAAAGCCTTGCCTGCTAATACTTAAAAGATTTTAGGGAATTATGGGAAGTATCATGTGTTGGGACTTTCCCACGAATTTTCCATGTGATTGGTCTCTCTTATGGAACCAACTATCCCTCAATCTTCCAACTGTTTCTTCCAATTCAGGGTTGGCATGCATTTGGAGCCTGTCCCAACAAGCAATGGGAGCAGGGCAGGGTACACCCTGGGCAGGACGCCAGCCCATCACAGGGCAGACAGGCACAAACACTGATAAACATTCACATGAGGGCCAATTTTCCCAAAAACAAATTAACCTACCAGCATGAGGAGACCCATGCATACAGAAGGAGATCGTACAGATTCCACACAGATAGTACTCCAGGAATTGAACTCGGGGCCCCTTTGATGTGAGGCACCAATGGTAACCACAGTGCCATTGTAATGCTCCCTATGGAACATACCATTCTTCCATATTTTGTTGGAGTACTGGAGTACAACTGTGAAGATGAATCCTGGTCCACATTCAACTAGTCCACCAGTTGAATCATCTAAAGACTTACATGCAAGAGTTTTCTATCAGTTCAAGTCATTTGGTTCCACAGAGTCAGTGTCACGATTGTAGTCCCTCCTCCTTAAGGGCGCTCCGGCTCTTGCTCGTTTGCCTTATTCCCCGCACCTGTCCCTTGGTCCAGCCTCCTTCCTGTCCCCCTTTAAAAGCCAGATGCAGTCGCCAATCAAGGCACTGCATCTGATTTCCATATCGTGTGAGCCCGGGACCTGGTTGCGCCTGGCTCCGTTATGCTTTTAAGTTTCTATGCCTGTTCCTGTTCCCCTTGCAGGTTCCGACCCGGTTCCTGATTTTAATCTTTAGTATTGGATGGATCATCTGGCCATGGGTTTAAGGCCGGGACATGCACATTGCTCCACCTGGTGTCACTTTGTAATGTGACGTGGTTCTCTGAGACACTGGAGCAGCATCTTGCTTTACATCTTGCATCTTACATCTTGCTTGCTTGTGTTTTTGGAATTCGCCTATGGACTGATTACCTTTGGATTACCTTTGTGGCCTCAGCCACACCTCCCAAGTGCACCAGGCACTTTGGACACGCCCCCCTGTTTTCATCCCCGTATTCCTGCATGACTTTTCCCCAGTGTTTCCTCACTTCTTCGGATTGTGTCGTCTGCATAGGGTCCGGAAAGAACTGTTCGTTACAGTCAGGGGGGGCTCAGTGAGGTCTTGGGAGCTACAAAGTATTTAGACTTTTATTCCAGTGATTTCTAAATGACTTAAGTGAATCGATCATCTGCTGAAGAGGTGAAAATAAAGTGTCTCCAAGTGTTTAGAAGAGCAGCAACCACAATCACAGCTATAACGTTTTGTTTATTTTGTT